ACCTCTGAGGGGGAAAATAGCTAGGACTGTAATTTAGTGATTGAGCACTTGACTAGCATGTGCAAGGTTCTGCTTCAATCCCAAAAAAGAAAAAGAGAGAGAGAGAGAGAGAGAGAGAGAGAGAGAGAGAGAGAGAGAGATAGAGAGAGGTGGAAAGAGGGAGGAAAAGGGGATGGAGGGAGGCAAGGAATTAGAACGAGAGGGAACAGTTCAGGAACCGAAGCCCGTGTGCGTGTGTGTGCGCGCGCGCGCATGGGCGGGAAGAGTCAGAAAAGGGGTGCCACCAAGTAATGACCAAATTTATTTTTATGAACAGAAAGAAATCGTTTAAATGATCCAAAGCAAGCTCAGAACACTGAGCGCTAACGAAGCACAGGAGAGTTACGGCAAGATCGGTAGCACCATGGCATTCATGAGACTGCACTGGAGGCAGCACCAGGAAGAGCTCTTCTGATGGAAATGCATGAGGGACACGGAAGGCAGGAGTGGGGCAGCAGGCCACCAAAAGGTCTGGACAATTCTAAGAGAGAGAAGAGAGGCCATCTATGCATAGCTGTTGGTCCCAGTAAGAGAACTGCACAAGTGGAAAATGTAGACACTAAATGGTTTACTCAATGTAACTTGAATCTGTAGAAGAAGAGAACATACCACGTCCCAAGAGAAGTTCTTAGAAACAGTAACTACTGTCCCTGGGCTGCTGAAGAAAAACCCTCATTATATACTCTGAATTTGCATAACAGAAATTATTTTCATAAAAGAAATAATCTTTTTTTTTTTTTTTGGCTACTTCAGGCTGCCTTAAAGACGGGTCTGGTGGAGCTTTTATTTTATTTTATTTTTTATTATTTTTTGTGGAACCAGGGATTGAACTCAGGCTCTTGTGCTTGCTGGGGAAGCACTTATTCCACCGAGCCATCTCCCTGGCCCCTGGTGGAGCTTTTAGAGCTGGGAATCAAACCACGGTCCAACGTACCTGACTGCATTTGCCCAAGCCGTGCTCTAAACTATCTGGCAAGATAGTTTATCACTATCTGGCAAGACCCCTGTTTTTAATTTTAAAGAATAAAAAGAGAGAAAAAAAATTCCAAAACAACATGATAGGAGAGTAACAATGGTTAATACGGTACATAATGTTATCTTTAAATTAGTTATTCAGAGTACAAGATATTAGCATTTAACTGTCCAAACAATATTGGCAATATAGCTCAGCAGACTAAGCACTTGCTCAGATAAGCACAGGGCCCCAGGTTCCATCCCTGGCACCGCAGGCTGCGCCGGCCTTGCCCCAGGGCACACTGAGCCCGCAATGCAGTCTGGGCGTGGTGGCGCACACCTGTAATCCCGGCACTAGCGAGGCACATATCAGGAAGATCACCATGAGTCTGAGCTGCATAGTGAGACCCTGCACACACACACACACACACACACACACACACACACACACACACAAATCTACCTTGAGACTGTAATGGTAAGAGAAGTAAATGAGACACATAGCTTAAATACCACATGGTTTCTCTTACCTAAGAAATGAGGACTATAAATAAAGAACCAAATAAAAAAAATAGACAAAAGAAGTAGGGAGATAGAGCTTTCTCAAATGGGAAGATGATCAAGAGATGAAGGAAAGGAAAAAAAGGAGGAGTGGAAAAAGGGCTGAAAAAAGGAATTAAAGTATGTTGCATATATGTATCAACTTCCCACAAGGAATGTAAACATTATCTACTTCAAATATGTATTAATAAATACTCCATTTATTATTTAAATAAAAATATAAAACTTCCAGGTCAGAAATTTATAATAAAGAATATATATATATATATATATATATATATATATATTCACAACTAAAATCAAACATTCTTTTCAGTAGGTATTAATGTGGCTAATTTTAAATGATAAAAGAATCTTGGATTGGCTTATTTAAAAATTCCATTATATATAGTATTTTAAACATACCCAAGCCAAAGTCTTTTAAAAATTAAAAGTAAAAAGATATGTAAAGTCAGGGTTAAGTTCTTAATGTGAGTCGTATTTTAATTCTAGGTAAAGTATTAAAAGAGACAAAGATGTGGGTATTATACAAATAATGGGGAAAACTATACAAACCTAACAGCTATCAAATAAAATAAAATTAAGTAAAATTTTAAAAAAACCTAACAGCTCTCAATATTCAAGAACCAAACAATAATCAGAACTTAAGCAGAAATTAAAGTACATGAAAGGCAAAAATAAGAAAAACACCTGTCATAATACTTCAAAAATTTAAAAGTGTTGAACGATGACATTATCCAGAAGGTAAACATGCCTGGTGTTTTAACATTATACTGTGCACACAGGAAAGAAATACACTTTCTGTGATTGGTGAACATTCAGAAAAGTTGATGGAACCCATAAATGCAAAAGCAAAAATGAAAATAAAACAATTAAGCACCCAAGTAAGAGAGTCAGAAGAAGAACTGAGTAAATTAAAACAGAAGAAATGAGCTCCTGAAATGGAAAGAATACTTAAGGCATTATAAAAAGAAACAATAAAGGAATGACCACAGAAAAGGCCTGTAGGACATAAAACAAGTAAAACTGAAGAAATAAACACAGACACAGAGGAATAAGAAAAACTGGAAGAAATATTTGCAAAATATAAAAATATAGAGCAATAGGAAGGAAATGAGCCCTAACACTCACAACAAGACGTATTTACAAGGGAGGCAAATTCACACTTCTTTAAAGTCAGCTTTTTAGTGAAAAGCACCCCGCAGCATTGGCATGGGTTTTGTAAAATATGGTTATTAAACTGAAGACGTAACATCCTCTTTTAGCAAAGCAGGGAAGCTCTGGTCCATGTGCACCGAGGCTATGTCCCTCTACTGAAATATAACCCAAATTTCCAAATATAATTTTTAAAAAGACTCTATAGTTGCACTGAGATTTCCCATTTGAACTGTCTAATTTAAAATCTATTGTTAAGAGATGAGGCAACATTTCGCCTACATGGGCCACTTACTGTGGTTTCTGACATCCTGGTTAAAATATTAAGTCAATAAAAATAACTTACTGAACTAAAAAATAGTTCCAGTCCAGTGATTCCATTCCCAACAGGCAACACACACACACGCACACACTTCAATATGGTTATTTTCCCATTGCCTCCAGCACATTTTCATTCGACTCCAGCATATGTATATGGGCATGCAAACAAGTTTCTTTTATGGAGAGAAAATGTTCACATATTTAAGTAATTCATATGCACTTTCTCATAATTTATAAAACGAATCACTTCATATATCAGATTTATAGCCATTAGTTTTGATCTATCCTTTGACCACAGACATTATTTCTAGTTGAGAGTTTTATTACAAAAGTTGTATTAAAGAAAACATATGTCAAAGACAGGGGATATTGGAGAAAATTTTCTCATTCCTATTAGAAAATTAGCTTTTGGAAAAATGGTTCATGTCTTTTGTGACGAACGCAGAGTCACCCTCGCCCAGACCTGCAGTGAGCCTCGCGCCCTGCCAGCCCGCACACACGCCCTTGGATTCTCCTTGAGAACTGTGGGAGCCTGAGCAGTGACTCCACAAGGGAAACAGCTGAGTGCAGACCACGTACTTGCTGGTGTACGTACAGAACAGCTTTGGGTGCAGGCGAGTATGTGCCATGCACATTGCTGAGCACCCATGGACAGAGACAAGGAGATATAAGACATTTAACGCTGGAAGGGCCTTAAAAAACTAGCCCAACCTCACCCTAAATCACATCCCCTAAAACAAAAAAAAACTAATTGCAGATAAAACCACAGGGCTCTACAGATGCGATACTACTATCCACTGGCCACCAACTGGTTGGAAATAAAACTACAATAAGGAGTCTCTGGCTTTTGTTTAGTATGCTGTTAACTCTACTTTTGCTTCATTACTGGCTACTGTGTAGCTCCAGAAGAAACAAAACAAATACAGATGCCTTCTACAATTTCTGCATCCAAAAGGGAATCATAAGAATAAAAGTAATGAAAAGAGTAATTCACTTTCAAAACTCTAGTAACCAATGTAATGTGGTTTGACTGTGTTCTCCTAGTTTCATGTATTAGAAACTTATCTCCAAAGTCATATGTTAAATGCAGATGGAGGCAGAGCCTCTGGGAAGTAATGAAAATTAGATAAAATCAGCAGAATAGGGGACCAGAAAGATAGCTCAGCAGAATAAGCGCCTGCCAGGCAAGCACAAGGTCCTGAGTTTGATCTCTGGTACTAAAATGAAATAAAAATAAAACTCAGCACAGTATGGTTCCCATGACAGTTATGAGTAGCTTTATGAGAAGAGGAAAGTAGATCCTTCCTTGTAAGTGTGCCTGTTTTGTGACACCCTCTACCATGTTATCATGCAATAAGAAAGCCTTACCAGCTACCAGCCCCATGACCTTAGAATTCCCTATTTCCAGAACCATGATTTAAATAAACCTATATTCTGTATAAATGATCTAATCTTAGGCATTTTGTTACAGTAACAGAAAGTGTATACTGACTCCTAACTCTGATATGATTCACTTAGTTCTGGAAGTTATATCATAGGCTTGTTCCCTTGAAAGAAGCAACCTGAGCAGTTATGGTAGAGACATGAGTAGAGTTGTTATGGTAGAGTTGTTAGAGATTAACAACTTAATCCCACAGGGCAAGGCCAAATGAATGGCATTTTGTCATGCCATTAGGGGAATGCAAAGGAAAAGAGCTCGTTGAATAGCATTTCAACAAAAGAATACAAGAAGAGACTTTCTTCCAAAGAGGAATGTGTAGTATAGAAATGCATTTTATCATACACTGAGGATCAGAATGTAGGTAGGATTCAACAACACATAACTAGAAACAAAAAACAGCTCTGAAACACCCACTCCCTGAAGAAAATTACTATAATCTCAGTAGTTTCTATTGCAGTAGTACTGAAATATGAAATATGTGATACATCTGATAACAATGGTCTTAACAAACAACACAGCAACAAGGTACCTGTCTGAAGAACTCTTCCAGGAGGGACATGGTCCAGCGGTGGTGCAGGTCCCAGGCCTTGGCAGGATGACTAATGTCTGCTGTGTGCAGCATCAGGGATAAGGCTTTGGGCTTTTCAATCCTGTAAATCCAAGTTACCCAAACACAGGGTGACCACAGTCCTCAGAATGACGTTAAAAATTCTATAAATCATTAGTCTTTGTAATCCCTTCTATTCTCCCATCTCAAATCCAACCTCATTCTGCTAAATGGAGAAAAGGGTATTATTTCACTCTGCTCCTGGAATGCCCATGACCTCAGTTTCTCTGTTTTTGACCTGGGTGCTTCTCACACAAGGCCTTTTATGAATGGCTGCATCATTCAAGAAGACAACAAACATCCAGGAGTCACTGCTACAGTTGTGCTTCTGCAGGATAGAGATCTTCAATAACTTAATTTCCCACAGGGAAGTAGTTCAAGTTCTAATTGGAGAGAACTATTAGCAGCCCTATTATTTATTTCACTTCTGGGGCCGGGGAGATAGCTCAGTAGGATAAGTGCTTGACTGGTAAACTCAGGGATCTGAGTTCAATCCCCGGTTCCGCAAAAAAATAAAAAAAAAATTAAAAAAAAAATATTTCACTTCTAAGAACACACCTAACTTTCATATATAAAATGTTCTTTCCTTCAACATCATTGCTTTATGAGATGCTGAAGGAGATGTCGTAAAGCTGGAGCACAGCATGGACAAGTGCCAGTTCGAACACCTGTAGAATCACATGATGTCACAGTGCCACTTACGCTTCTGGCTGCTGTAGGGCAGTCTTCATCGCTTTGATTTGTTGAAAATGACAGGACATATCAGTAGCCATCACCATCTCAATTACCAAGGTTCGAAATTCCCTTTCAGGAACAGACATAGGAAAAAAAGATGGAAGTAAAAAAAAAAAAAAGGAAAATAAATATCACTTTATTCCTTGCCAATTCTAGCCAAAATCAGTTAATTATTTCTGACATTTCTAATCTAATTTGAGTCTTTCACAAGGGCTTTTTATGAAGAATAAATGAAAGTAAAGGACAGAGGAGACTGATATTTATTAGGAATATTTTACATGGAATGCATATGTAATTTAGAAAATTAACTCTTAGGATAGATTCCAATGAAGCTGAAAATTGTACTGGAGTTCTCCCTTCTCAACTGAGTTCATAGTCATTAGAAAGAATTGATTTGGGGCCAGGGAGATGGTTCAGTGGATTAAGCACTTCCCTGGCAAGCGCAAGGGCCTGAGTTCAATCCCTGGTTCTGCAAAAAAAAAAAAAAAAAAAGAATTGACTTGAAAGTAGCCCTAAAAGATAGGCTGATATTATACTTCAGATATGGGTATTTCACCTACTTAGAAATAGATTTGATATTTTTAAAAAAATTATAGAAAAATTGAGCAGATAATGTTGTTTCTGTACACCCTCTCTCCCCTAAGTATTAATATTTTATATTAATGTGGTACAACTGTTAACACTGACACGCTAATATTGATATATGATATTACTATAATACAGTTTATATTAGGGTTCACGAAGCAGTTCTACAGGTTTTGATAAATGCCTAATGCGGTGTATCATTATGGTACAGCACACTACAGAATAAATTCAGCACTTTAAAGTTCCCCATGCAGCGCCCATCACCCACTGCTCCTCCCACATCCACGGATCTTAGAAAGCCTTGGCCCCCATGACTGCAGAGGTGGACAAGTGCTGAGGTCTTGGGGTCAGCCAGCCAAGGCTCCAGGAAAGCCAACGGGGTGCTTCCAGGGCAGACCAGCAAACATCAAGGCTCAGAAAGAGTCAGTGTTTCAGTTCAAAGACAGTCAGAAAAACTTCTATATTTGGGGAAGGGATTGCTTTTTAGTTTTTCTGTCCATAAATCTGATTAGTTGAGACCCACTATAAGAAAAGGGAGAATCTGCTTTTCAGACCTTATTCATTTATATTGTCAATCTCATCTAAAAACACTAGAAGATAAGGTATGTACTGTAGTTGTTGTGTAGTACTCAGTAAGCATCAGTTACAGCGACACACTGATATTTTTTTCTCTCCTTTCCTAACACTTACAGTCGTCCTTATGCTTCATTATATGGAACATTTCTGCAAATCCCCAAGGCTCTGCTCATTTTAAACTATCTTGTACCTTAACACCTTCAAATTAGATTATTTCCAATATTCAACTTTTCAAAATAACTTTAAATATACTGAGATCCTCTTTTCTCCATCCTGCTATGCAATACATTTCAAATTTGATATTATTTAAATTCTCTTATTTCCTTACTGATTTTTTTTTGTCCTTTTAAAATGAATTACTCACACAGGTATGTCATAACCCAATAAGATTTTGAAAATATATACTTCTAATTTTTTCCATCATTTTTATATTTTGAAAGTCTATAGTTAGAGTGTTTATTATATTGGCTAAGTCTTTCATGACAATTTTTATTGTCAGAAAACATTCTTTATTCTTAGCAGTACCATTTTTGGGAATTTATTTTATCTAGTAGTAGTATCAGCACTGTAGTCTTATCAAATTTAGGTTTTTTTCCCATATTTTATATCTTTTTACTTTGAACTTATTTGTGTCTTTATATTTCAAGTACATCTTTTGTAGCGGGAATGCAGTAGAGCTTGCTTTTTTAATTCATTTTGCATTTACCATTTAATTAGTGTTGAGTCTTTTAATGTTTAATGTAATTATTGATATTGTTGGACTTAAGTCTAGTACGTTGTTTTCTGTTTGGCCTTTCTGCTTTTTTCTCCGCTATAACACATCCTTTGATTTTTTTTTTTTTTGAGATCTTAGTTTTAAAATTTATCTTAATTTATGTAATAAATTTTCTCCTATCTTTAGCTAATACTATTAATTTTTAGTGGTATAATAACATGTATCTTTATTTTTTAGCTTAATTACAGCTAATAATACATCACCTCATATAAAATGTAAAAGTAAATCTTAGAACAGTATAGGTTTACTTAATGCCACTAGCCAATCTTTATGTTGTACACAGTCAGAGATGTCACATTTTCCCCAGTATAAAACCCATGAGATGATATTATAATTTTTTTAACCAAAACAGCCATATGCCCTTAATTCAAATATGTTAAGAAAAATTATCTTTTTGTATTTATTCATGTTTTGCTCTTTTATTCTTTCCTATGTGTCTAGTTTTGCTTCAGAATAATTTCTTTTCTACCTGGAAAACTTTCTTTAGCAAGTCTTATGATATAGTTGTTTTGAGGATGAATTTCTGTATTCCATTGTCAGAAAATAATTTTATTTCACTTACATTCCTATGAGGAATATGCTCATGGGGTAGAGCATTCTGTGTTGACATTATCCTTATTTTTTTCTTTTAATATTTTAAGAAGTCATTTTATTCTCTTTTGGTCTTCATAGTTATTGATGAAAAGTACACAATCATGCAAATTGTTTCCTTAAATGTAATCTGTCATATTATTTTACTCTTATCTTTAACTCTTACCACTTTTATGGCAATTAATGTCTAGGTGTGTTTTGCTTGGAATTTATCAGGTTTTTGTCTCCTGGGTTTCCATCATTTAATTAAAATATAAGTACTGTTCAAATCCTAGTAGATTCAGAACTTTTTAATGATTTAGATGATTTTGAGCATGAATATTTAGTCATGCTTATAGATGCCTACACTGATTTACAAGCTTCTTGGGTGTGTGTGTGTGTGTGTGTGTGTGTGTGTGTGTGTGTGTTAAGCATTTTAAATGGATTATGTTATTTATTATAATCTTGACTGGGACAACTGACCTTCTGGGGACCCTTCTGTCTCTCCCAGACAGAAGCTATATCTCTCCCAATAAATTCTTCCTACTCTTACAAAATAAATAAACAAATATAATCTTGGCTACATTGTAAAACAGATCTATTAACTATTTTTTAGAAATTAAATGTTAAATGTTAAGAAAAGTAAAGATGTTTAATAACTTCTCCACTGTCATACAACTAGTGAGTGATTTGGCACGTATTCACCCCCAGATGTGTTCAGATCCAGAGTCAAACAGTTATCGTTTAGAAAACAGAAGTAATTACAAATTAATTTTTAAAGTTTCAAAATAATTTCCTTAGAAATCTGTAAAACATTATTAAGCAAATGCAATATATTTTTCATAAATGTCTGATGATAAAATTCAGATTTAAAAAGTTCAGTTGAAAGCAACTCTCTGCCTCTTATAGGTTAGGAAGTATCAGTAGGGAAAGCATTAGAAAACAATGCCTCCAACGTAACAGGATTTCAAAAGTACCCTCAGTTGGACAATACTGGATCTTCCCCTTTTCTTCCTTGAGAATTTTTAGTTGAATAAGTTGAGTTGAGCTCTTCAACACAAACTGGTTTCACTTTCCAATTCATCATTATAAGATCAATAAGAAGATGGTAAAAATGGCCACACAATAGTCTTAGCTTTCACTGCCAAGCATTTGAACATTTATGAGAAGAAAAAAGTACAGAAATGAGAGAGACACAAAGAGGGAGAGAGAAAGAGAAATAACAATTGAAATTTGAAATAGGACATTATTTCTGCCAAGGCAGCAGACTCTACCTAGTTTCCTGGTTCCTTTTGAATCTCCCTCATTCTGTGCTTACCTCCAGTCATCCTTTGAGAGGTTGACCAAAATATTCATCTCCTCATCCTCTTGCAGAAGGCGGTAGGCTGCACTCAGATGGTGGTTTTCCAGGACAGATCTATCATTGTACAGAATAGCTGGATCAGACCTGGAAGAAAACATAGAATTGTCTAGGACATCAAATCCTTGAGTTTTCTTCCAGTAGCTTGCACAGGCTAGAAAGTACCAATCATAAGTAAAGCTTTTAATAATTTTCTGGGGGAAAAAAGGAAAGAAAGTATCAGTACTTTTTCTAAAGTTCAGAAATTATTGGGCTGGGGAGACAGCTCATCTAAATACCTGCCTGGCAAGCACAAGGACCCGGGTTTGATTCCTAGTACCACATGCCATGCCAGCACTAGATCCCCAAAAGCACCATGCTGGCCACTGAAACTAGGTGTGGTGGTACACGCCCTTAATCCTGGAGATGGGGAGGCTAAGACAGAAGGATCACTATGAGTCTGAGCTGCATAGCAAGATCCTGGACCAAATAAATAAATAAATAAATAAATAAATAAATAAATAAATAAATAAATAAATAAATAAATAAATAAATTTGTTCTCATGTCATTTGTATCAATCAATCAAACCAACACTATGAATTATAACTAGATGTGTGTAGATACTGTACTATAATGTATGCATGTGAAATACGTGAGATCCAGCCTGAGAATTGTCTGAAAACTGTCTTGTACCAAATCTGAATTATCTTGGCAAAGGTAGTTTTCAAAACCACATAGGTTATGTTAAATTTCCTTATATTTTCTGGAAAAACTTCAAAGTTTGATTTTTATTCAATGCAGTGAAGCCATTGGTTGTTCATTTTAGCTGCAGCTCTCTGAACATAGTATTATCAGTATTTTTTCTAAAGTTCAGAAATTATTGGGCTGGGGAGATAGCTCATCTAAGTACCTGCCTGGCAAGCACAAGGACCCGGGTTTGATCCCTAGTACCACATGCCATGCCAGCCCTAGAACCCAAAGAGTGCCACGCCATTTCAGAAATGGGTATCATCTGAAAACTACCTCTGTTAGTAGCTTGATCTTAAATTTTTTACAAGAGAAAGTCTCATGTGAATGACTGAGGATAAAGGATATGATTATATGATAGTTCTTAGAGATTTTCTCAAAGATCATTCTACAACTGATTGTCACCAGGCACAGGGTTGTATGTTATTTTAATATTTCTAATTTAATGATAGCTTAAATTATTATAGCTAACTTTCTTGTAAAGGAAGCTAAAAGCAGAGCTACATGTGACCAAAATATACACTGTAACTTAAAATTTCCTTCTGAAATATATGTCGAGCTGAAATACATGCTGTTACTTAAATATAGCTTTTAACTTGAATATATGATGTAAATTAGAATTTCTCCCTGAAATATATGCAGTAACTAAAAATTTTTATGAGTGAATCAGGCATGATAAAATAATACAGTGTATACTAAGGCCAAGTATCATCCAATGTAAAGGAGGATAATAAAAACATTAGTCTGTTTGAAGCGAGTGGATGCATTTTAAGAGGTTTAATGGTAGTGTGTCTATTTTTTGTGGTACTGGGGTTCAAACCCAGGGCCTAGTGCAGGCAAGGCAAGAGCTCTGCCACTAAGCCACATCCTCCACCACAGAAAGGTGTCTTTTACTGTAATAAATCTTTAAAATTGTTGTAGCATCCACAATGTTGTTTATCATACTTCATAAAATGGGTATTTAGGGACAAACTATGGAGGACCACCTGGGCAACTCTCCTTGAAAGAGGAGCAATTGTTCCCTTTTATGCTGAGCCTGACCTTATTTCCATGCACTGATATGTTCAGAGCTGGCTAGGACTTTTCCTTATCACTTTAATTGGCTTTAAGCAGTGCATATCAGTCTAGCCAGGTGCTGGTGGTAGTCTTTGAAGATGACAGGTGTGTTTTCCACCTGCTGCTTCCTAGTTTGAGCAGGGATGAAGAGTCAATCCTCTACACTGTCAGCTAGGATCCAGCCTCCAGAGAGAGGCTGACTTCCTACTTTCTGGGGCTTGAAAGATTACACATCAGAGTTGAAGCACCAACCCCAAAACATTAGATACTATTTCAGTTGTATAATGCAGATGACTCTTTCTCCATCTTTCTCTCTCCATGTTGCAGAAGTAAATGCAGGCCTCCTACCTAGCCCAGTTCATGGTACTCACCTACTTCCTACCATTCTCAACAGTCACTCATCCTCAAGCCACTCCTTTCTTCATGAATGAATAAAACCCAGGCTCAGTCTTGGATTGAGGCCTTTGTTCCTGATGGCCATCATCATGGCTGGAGTTAGGACCTCTTGGCTCCCCATAAATACAAATATGCCTTTGTGCCTTTATTCTTGCTATGGGTTGTAGTGGGTGTGGTATTTTGGGATTAGTTCAAGGGGATTCCAATAACTTATCCATAGGATTATGTCCCAGACCAAGATCAGGATCAGGATGGGCTCTCTCAACCCCATGTTTTAAGACAAGAAGCAAGGTCTTGTGAAGAACAGCATTTCCCAAGATAACTTCCACTTATCATGCCCAAGTTTTGGATCTATCTAACACACCTTAAAAGTATTAGGCTTAACATTTTGTCCATCAAATGATAAGGGATATGGTTTCAGACTTAGTTATCTGAAGAGGGATTCCCAAGTACATTGGAGAAAGCTATGTTGGAGATGGCAAATATTTAATTTTCATCTCAAACCAAACTTAATGGAAACCACTGGCATTTTCTACCTTCTACAGAAGTAACATAAAATATGCAAATTTTGACTGACTTTACTATGTTGGATAAGCTAGGTACCAAGGGATATGGAGGTACCAAGGAATGCGTATTTTGTGACACTGAGCTATATTTTACCTCTCAGTTGAGACTGACTTTCATACTGTCCATGGGCAAAATCCATACACAATGGCTTCACCCACCTCCCTCTCTTCTGCAGGTGCTTTTTACACAGTCTATATCCTCAGAGCAAAGGACCCACCCACAACACTAAGCAGAGCTCCTGTACCTGTGGAGCTTCCTGTATTTACAAACACAACAGTCTGCTTCTTTGCAGCTGAGATCATTGTACATGTGGAGGCAGGAACTAAAACTTAAATCCTTTTGTTTGCTTGCATTCATTATAGTTCCCCTCTGAATGGAGATCAGATGATATTGTCTTCTTTCATGTACCTCCTAGTTGAGTATTTAGATAACTAAATACATGTAGATTCACTTAATGAACACAAAGCCATCCACAGCATGCACCTGCTTTATCAAGTGAAATCAGTAAGTACTGATTTGGTATTCAAATCATCCCTGGGCCCCATCATATTCTTGGTCTTTGCATTATTGTCTCTCTGCCTCTGTCAGAGTCTTCTTTAATCATTACTATCTTTAATCCTCTGTCAGGGTCTTCCCAGGTCCATGTCACTGTTTTAAGAGACCATGAAATTTTAGGCCCAAAGAAGGAAGACAAGTTTTCACCTCAAGCAGAAATGACAATTACCTCATATAGCTAGAATTCTGTGTTGAGAGGAATATTAAAGGTAAGTGTAGAGCTTGGGAAGGAAAAATGCCACAATCAACTAGTGATATCAGTTATAGATTAGCAGGTTCAGTGTGGGGCTCTTAGGCCCCTACTTAATATGCCTAACAGAGTCTATTTCTCCTTCTGCAGGATATCAGCAAGGATGCAGAGATCGCCCAAGGAGCAAGTGGCTTAAATGAGACAACCTCGATTCTCCAACCCCGTGCTAGGGATCAGGGCAGGTACTGAACTGAGCAGAGATGAAATCAGAGTGAGCACTGTGTCTCTTCAGAAACCCAGAGATCAGAGACTACAAAGGCTGGATGATGCATTGTGCCAATTGAGCGCTTCACTCATCACTTGTCCTTTCAGGACAGAGTGAACCCGGCCCTCAGTGCAAACTGCCTCACCACCTAGTAGGAATAGAGTATGCATGGAACACACAAAAATAAATACAGCAAGAATTACACTATAGAAAACAAGAACATCCTCCTTAGATCTCTATAATGTATGAGCATCATGAGCAGATGACATCTTAAACCCTAAGCTGAGAGAAGTTGACCAGGCCCATCTTTCATGTTCAGCTCTTCAGAGCCATAAGATAAAGCAACCATGTAAAAGAAAAGGGAAGGACACCTCTGTGATGCCTAAAACTCTATCTCTTCCCCCTCTTCTTTCTTCTCCAAACAGTTCGACATCCTCACCGAGTCTGAATGTGGAAATTGTTGGTGGTTCCGGTGTGTTCATAGTCGTGGATGGCAGCTGAGAAGATTATAGCGAAGATCTCCAGCTCCGTCAGCCAGTTCTAAAAGGGAGATGACAGAGCAATCAGATATTCTGTTTCATTCTCAAAGTTTCAGTGAGCTGACAAACCACCCACGTTGCTGCCTTTCCACCCTGCAGCTGGAAGCTATTGCCAAACGCAAGTTTTCTGACACACAGAAAATTTTATTCCTTGTGAAGTGACTGCAGGACTTAGAATTTGAAAACAGCATGCGAAATTAAGAGCTAAACAGTACTTTCATCCTTCTCAAGAAATCCAAAAGACAACAACCATGAGGACTTTAAAAGACCTCAAGGCATCCTCACACAACTTCCAAATAAACTTTCTAGATCTCTCTCTCTCTCTCTCTCTCTCTCTCTCTCTCTCTCTCTCTCTCTCTCTCTCTGTTTCTCTCTCCCTCCCTCTCTCCCTCCTTCCCTCCCCCACACACCCATGCATGAGTTAAAAATTCCAACACAACCCCAATAGGCACTAAGAGTAACAGAAAATCCATTAGCCATCTGATGACAGGGGGAATATCCACTACAACATGAGGAGAGAGACAGAGAAACCACATTTGGCTCTCTGCCCCATGTGCCCATGTTAGAAGAGGCCTGTCTCCATCCACACTATCACTGGCTGTAGCTCGGTGGTGACCAGATCTGTTCCTCAGACCAGAGGAATCAACATCATCAGTGAGCCCAACTTGTTAAAATCTGTGTTTTACTAAGCTGCTTGCATCCCATTTACTAAACTGCCCAGACAATTCTGATACTCTGCAGAATTGGCTCTCAATTGAGAACCACTCCCTCATTTGTAGCTCTTTCATTGATTCCATTTGCTGGATTCTGTGGGTTCACTAGTGCTTCCCAGCCCTTCTGTCACCCTGACTGTCCAGAGTCCCCACAGCAGCACATTCCTGGCCCAGAAGCCACCCCTGGTGCCCTCTGCCCACTTTTATTACTAGTTCATTTGATGCTCACAAAACTCAGCATGGATGTCACATATGCTACTTTGACACATTGCAGTTGTCACTTAAAATATATAATTAAGTGTGAGAGAAAACAATGAAACATGAACACAAAAATGGAGATGTTATTTCTATAAAACCTAAAAGCTCAGTTCTTTGGACACACACTCAGAGGACTGCTGCCAAAACGTGTGTGACAATCATGAAAACACAGGTGACGAGCATACAATAGAGAGATTCTGCACTTAGTTTGTTTCATGAGTATCTTAAAAGTAACATTTCACTTTTAGAAAATGAAACTAGAAATCTTAGCTATAGACAGGCTTAATGTAAGATTAAAATGGGGGCCAGGGAGATGGCTCAGTGGAATAAGCACTTCCCTGGCAAGCTCAAGGGCCTGAGTTCAATCCCTGGTTCTGCCAAAAACAAAAAAACCAAACAAAAATGTAAGATTAAAATGAGCACTGTTGGGCTGGGAAGATAGTTCAATCCCCGGTCCTGCAATTGCTTGAAACTGGGCATGGCGGTACATGCCTGTAATCCCAGTGCTGAGGAAACCAAGACAGGAGGGTCACTATGAATCTGAACTGCATAGCAAGACCCTGTTAGACAAGATATCATGTCGGCATCTTGTACTATGAATAACTACTATGAAGACAACAATATGCAATGTATTAATTAGTGTAACTGTCCTACTAGCCTGTTTTGAAACTGTCTCCTTGCTATTTTTTGCTCAATGAAATTAATATAAAAATAAACATGCAAAAAAAATACTGAAACCAGCAGAACTCAGAAAAAAACCTAAGGTCTGAATTAAAGATAACTGCATAAGACACATCTGTATGATTTAAATTAACACAAAA